AAGAAAGGGCTTGTATCTTGTAAGAATTAACAAGCAAATATACAGAGACGTAACAATATCATTTTTCTAATCATCAATTTTGGGCAGCTTAGGTCAGCTGGCCCTGACCCATTGTCATTCTTGGGTCCTTCCTCTTTCTGTTGGATGAGTTTGGCAATCTCAGTTTGTGCTCTTATTCTCTCTATTTCCAGTCTCTCCTCTTTCTCCTTTTCTTCCTCTCAATTTATGTTCTTATTCTCTCTCTCTATGTATTTACAGTTTTTCCTTTGTCTCTCTCTCTTTTTTCTTACTCTTCTTTTCTCCTCTGTTGAGATTCTTCTCACTTTAGTTCTTGTTGTAATTTAACAAGTTCTTTTAGCCCAAGACACTCAACTCTCTCTATCCATTTATCAAAATCAGTCAAAATGGTTATATAGCGTGATTGTAATCTCTACATTATTTTTGCTACCATTACAGTTATATGTATATTGGCCTATAGGATTTCACAATTGTATCTAAAACTAAATAATTCTCTTTTCTTGTCAAAAGTCCACACATGCTGGTTCAAAATTACTTTAAAACCCAACTGACAAGATGAATTATTTTTCTCTATTCTGTTTCTTATTGTACAATCTGCAATGAATCCACTTATGTGGTTACAACAGTTGTATCCAGAACTTTAAATACTTATCTCCTTTTCGTCAAAGTCCACACAGAGGGGCTAAATTACTTTAGGACACACTTTAACAAGACAAATTATTCTCCTTATATCTCTGTTAAACTGTGAAACTCACTTTAAACTAACAATCACATGGTCTAACTTCACTTTTACTAACTTACTTTAGCTTGTTCTTGCACTCTGTATCTGCACATATAACTTAACACTCGAAAGAAAAATCTAGGGACAACAATATTCACATAACAAGAAAATTTAGAAGCCTCCAGTAAGATGACGTCAACACTATTACAAAAGCCTAGTACAACAATTAATCTGCATACACAATGTATGACTCGTACCGATTTACGTAATAAAACTTGTCATAACTATCACTTTTAAAACAATTAACTTTTAAGAGTCTTGTTATGAAAACTAAATAACCATTAAATATTAAATCACTAAATAATAACACTTAACCTAAACAGTCTTGTATATCCAACAGTTATATTATGTTAAATGAATGAAATATTACTAAAATAATGGATGCACCCTCTTATAACTTATAATGAGCCTTCAAGTGTCTATAAATAATCAGGCAATGTAAACTTTCTGCTAAAAATGGTTCAAGAAAAAGAAGTAGTGTAAAGAAAAAAGTTTGATCAGCCACCTTGATGCATAAGTGACATTGAAAAAGCATGGGTTGAAAATATTAGAGTAATGATAGTTTGGCAAAACGTTCAGAATAGAACCAACCTCACCCAAGATGAGCAAATACGGCTGAAGAGAAAAAAGAACGAGTACATAAATCACTTTAAGAGCATGACAAAAGCAAAGACTGATTTGGGAGACGTTCTTCTCAGAGGCTGTCAATGACAAATCACTCAAAAGATGTTGGACTTCTCACAGAAAAATGAGCCAACAAACAGAAGCAAAGATCATCCCAAATTTTCAGTGTGAAAATGGTGTCATGGTAGCAATGGATGAAGAAAAGAGTAAATGATTTATTGAACATTTTACTGAACAGTCAGACTATGTAAACATAGATGAATGCAAGAATCTCTAAATAAGTGTGCAAAGGTTGAGGTAGTATGCTACATCACACTAGATACTGTTAAGGCAACATTTAAATGCTACACTAACATTGTACTAGGTCCTGATAAGGTGATATATGCTGACTGCCATGGACAATGGTGAGGATGGGGATACACAGTACAAGTGAATGGAAAACAGTTCACAAAAACAGCACAGCATACAATGCGACAACATCCAGCATGAAAATGAGATAGCTAGAGGGTAAGATGTTCACACATGGAATATTGGTGACAGACTCTAAATAAGTATGCTGGAGAAAATACAAACTGAATCATTACATACAGAATAAATAAAGTCAATCTAATCAAAAACACCTTAAGTATGAAAAAAGGATTGAGCATGTGACTTAAAGGAATGAAATCAAAATTGGCAGCCAAACTAGTTGCTCTACTAATAGCATTGATACTAATTGGAAAATTGCTAAACAATCACTCCTGTTAATAACACAAGTGTGTCCTGCTGGGTTTTTCACCACATGACACACTACTGTGTGCCTTCATTCCTAAAACAAGACTCAAAAAGCTGACATGAGTGTTATGTCCTCAGTACGCCACAGTAAAATGGAATGAAAGAGCAGACAGACTAGCAGGTACTGGTTATATCAGAGCTGCCTGGACCCACAACAAAAATAATGTGATTAATGTAATCATCATGAACATGAAGAAAGCACGCAATAAAGAGAAATCCCATACTTTGAGCCATTTGCTTGAAAAAAGGAGTCAAATGGGGAGATGATCAGCACAGTAAACTAAGGTGCAAAATGTGGTGAGCAAGTAACCAGTAGCTGATGGAAACCACCAGCCTACACTTAGTGCACTGAACACTGGAGAGAAGAGCAGAGCAGATATGGGTGTGCCCAGAATGCAAGATGCTGAATCCATCAATAAATAAATAAGTGCTATTGCTAATGCGTAGATACCAGTTGCTATTCATATCTTAACATAATTAGCTTAATACTGACCCACCATCATAGAAATCTGAGTTCAATCTCCTTCAAACCAATCTCATAAATCACAAATTATGTGTCTTATACATAAGCGGCAAAAAATTGTCTAAAAAATTGAACTGACAGAAATTGTTAACTTACAACAGTTTATTTCATCAGAATTGTCTCCACAGTCATCATCTTCATCACAATGCCAGGTCATTGGAATGCACCTGTGATTGGCACATGTAAACTGGTTTGGTGAACACTGACCTGAAAAAAGTTTTCAAGAATAAGCAAATAACTTAGAATATACTACTTATCAATATTTTTAAATAGATATAATTACTGTAATAAAGACTTACCTTAATAATTCATTCATTAATCTAGACTATTTAAATTGACTTTACAATACTTTTCATAAATATATTGAGCTCTCTCATTTCTTGGTTGAAAAAATGATGAATTTCAGATTATAAACATGATTTAAACTAGATTTATTTTCCATAGATTAGTCTGTGTACTCTATCTAAAAGTTAAAAACTCTATAAACATAATCAATGCTCAATTTACTTTTTTCACAACAGCCAAAAACTTGCCTAAAAATTGTGGGTTCTACAAGCTATTACAAGCAAATATTTTTCTTTTCCCTCAAAGCCAATGATCCTTTCACACAAGGAACACATCAATACAAAATTTTCACACCTCAAGTGCACAACTTTACACCACTCAATACCACAAGTAAGTAGTTTTCAACATCCTAACCCATTGCCTTGGACTGTCAGATTCTTTTGAATAAAAAAAGACCATATCAATAATTTAAGCTCTTCTCAATGTCCTACAAGTAGTAATATTTACATATTTGAAAACGTTGTTATCCAAAAAGCTATCACTTCCACTAATTCCCTAAGAATACCACTTATTAATTAATCTCTTGTAAGGTATTTTATCAAAGCTTTCTGAAAGTCCAGACATAAACATTATCCTGGGTGACTACATCCAAAAAAGGAAAAAAAATACTATTCAAAAACCATGTTAAAAAATTGCTAGTTATATGCATGTCAAGTAAATGTGAACAGAATTTAAGCATCATGCTAACAATGAAAATGTTTATCCTTTCATTTTGAAATCAGACATCTCAGTGACAGTTATTCAACCATCAGGAACTTCTATGCTGTTAAGACATGAAAAATAACAGTTCCAGTCCAGAATAACTTTGTTAAGTTTCTTCAAGGTTTTAAGATAATGAATGGCTATTTGTGCTGTATATACCTACAGTGCATTCTCAATAGGTAATGTACAAAGGAATGAATAAATGAACATATTATACAGACCACAAGGTTCCACTTGGTAGTTCAAAGCTATCCTTGCACATTCACCTTTGAGAAAAGTAAAATTTTAAACCCACCCTTTATTTTTTGTGCACATATGTATAAGGATTGAGAATTTAATGTTATTTACATTAATTCAGCTATTTAACAGATGTGGATTTCAAGTTTTGAATGCATAGATACAATAGTAATCAAACACTGAGAATTTAAAATTATTATTATTATTATTTGTCTTCATCCTTTATTACCTCATCCAGAGTCATTGCTAGACACTGGCATAGAGGGCCTATGCCCCAAATCCCCAGTTTGTGTCTTGAAAAATCAGAATAGAAAACCATGATCGATATTATACTGAAATGTTGAAAATACCCATGCCTATAGGCCCAAACCCTGAATATTTTAACTACCTAGTGATGCCTCTGATCTCATCATTTTCTGTAATCTTCTACAGTTGTACAACTTTTGTAGAAGTTACCATAATTTGACTGTTCAAGTTCTTCATCTGTTTAACTTAATTCATTATTTGTTACAACTAGATCATAAGAAACTGAGACCAGTTAACAAATCTACTGCCATTACAACCTCCAAATATATATAGGTTAACAACAATCACCTAGGCACTAATGCTGGGTAATAAACTTGATTACCTTCGGGCAGACTACATTGATCAGTGTCACATAAAGTAACTGATTAATACAAATTACAATTAAATCAAATATTGTCACAAAAATAATCAACTAATCAAAATTATTTTTTCAAATTATTAGTGTTTTCAAATATACCAACAATCTTGAGTGATAAATTGCCATTATCATTTCTCATTATTTATTTTGGATTAATTCAAGGTTGTTCAACTTAATTGATTAGAATCACAACTCACAAAAATAACTAATCAAAATTAGCATTTCCAATTACTATTATTTTATTATTCAAACTATCCAAGTCCCACATGAGAATAATCAATTAATTGAATGTACTTCATTAATGAGCCTGCCAATAAATCAATAAGCAAATTCCACTTAACACCTAGCTTTTGTACTGTCTGTTTGTCTTTTATCTAACTACTCCTACGTCACTGGGCCAATCTCAACCAAACATTGTGTGTTGATAATTTGGAACAATGCGCATGTTAACTGAGGTTCACAATCCCTCCACCTCCATTATTACTGTTATTGAGCATTTATTACCTTTGACGCAAGTTGATGTTAACAACATTCATAGATGGCACCGCGTCCTCACACACAAAAACTCCTTATTATATTTTCTATGACATAACATACACAGTGTGGAATGGGGGTAGGGCGCACAAACGTCTTATATATCTCAGAGATATATATCGATGTGAAACTGAAAGTTCGGTATTTTATCGATTATATTATCGTAGATAGTTTGCATTATCAAACTGGCACTGATCATTGATGTACATAAAAAAATCAAAGGTGCTAACACTGAGCCCTAAAGTTTCACACTTTGGACATTAATCTACTTTGCTGAACTCCATTTATAACAATCCTCTGCTTTCTTCCTTCCAACTTTTTTAGCCGTGGCATAGCGGCTCATATAATACGGCTCTGAGTTTTTGTTGTTGTTGTTTGTTTGTTTTTCAAGTACAAACTTTTAGCTCACAGCTCCGTCATCTGTTGACCGATTTGAGATATAAAGTCAGTTGTGGATTCAGAAAGTCAAATCCTTCCTATTAAAGTATTTGACCACGCACAAGGTCTCATAGATTAATTTACTCTAATCCTACCTAAAATAATTTCAATTTTAGGGTAGACTGGTACAGGTCCTGAGGAGTAATAAAATCGAATCGAGTATATGCACGCCCCACGCTCGGTATTGTTGGTGCACAAAAATATAGCTAATAACATGAAAAAAAAAAGATATCATAGATTAATTTACTCTAATCATGCATAAAATAATTTCAAGTGTCGCAACTACTGAGGATTCCCTCTTGTTTTCACTCCAACTTATCCTCTAAACTTATATGCTATAAAGAGAATTTTATGTGGCACTTGGTCAAATGCTTTCTGAAAACTAGACATATCAAATTCACACATTTATCCTTATCTACATAAGGGAAACCTTTTCAACGAATGTCATAAGATTAGTAAGTTCCCCTAGCGAAATTCGAAACCATATTTACAATCCAACAAAATATTAAACTTTGTTAAATGAATTTGAAAAGCATTGCGGCTTCTCTTCTGGTACTAATACAACACACAGGCTGATATCTAGGTCGTGTGCGAACGATTCGGAGTCCATATTTTCATAGCTGTCAACCTCTAATACCCATGAATGAGTGAGAAAATAAGAAAGCCAAGATCAAACTGTGGTGGGGGTAGCGGGCCCAGAGCCCCCGCCCGAAAATGAATTTCGCATTGTTACAATTTTAGTTAACGTGTCTTTCAACATCAAGCAGCTATTGGTGCTTGCAGCTGGCTTAACAGTTATACACTGTGCATCGAAAATAATTCTTATTGGACGATCAGGCACGATGGATATGTACTTCGTTGTCCATTCTGGATGGAATTTAGTATTATATTTTGCAGTACCTTGATATTTTGTCGATTTGAGTTGTTTTGATGTTGATGGACAGTCAGATACCGAACCGCTGTCACTCTGCTTCTTTATCTAGATCATTTTTCGGAATCAAATGGCGCTCGCTTGATTGTATGTGATAGCTCATTTCATTGGTTATCAGGCAAACAAGAATCAGTCACTCGACACGATGCACACGCGCAGCAACTATCAATTTCAGACTAGTCCTTTAACCTCGCTAACTATTACGCACTTTTGAAGTAAAGAACTAGGACCGTTCTAACAGTTTTGCAAATAGAATTGCATGTTTAATATCATATGATGAAAAACGAAATTAAACACTGATAACACAGGCCTGCGCATTTAAACTTCATAAAAGTTGTTTTGGTTTTAATAACAGATTTTCCATAATT